TGTTTAAAAAAATAACTTACTCCTTTAATAGAGCGAAAGACAATGTTACAGGTATAGCAACAGTCAAAAAACTTTTTTTTTGGATAGCTTCATACCAAATGCATCTCCTCCTACAAATTTGGGATAAAACACCTCAGACATAGCTCATTCTATTCGGCTTGAGTGTGGGCACAAAGTTACTATTTGAATTTTTGATAACTTTTTTGATTACCGAGAAATTTGACCCCAAAGTTGGGGTAACTTTTCACCAGCAACGACTTTTAACTCCTCTGAGATTTTTTTTGGCTCGGCTGATTTTGTTCATACTTCACAGGTAGGTCGTAACGTACTAATTGAAAAAAATCCTGGCGCACTACTGCCATTGCAACAGCCAAAAACTGATTTTTGAATATTTTCGCCCCAAATGTATTACCTCCTACCAGTTTTGTAATAGAAGTGTTCAGATGATCATGCTTTTTATTTTGACTCAGATGATCATGCTTTTTATTTTGGCTACTTTGCGCACTGGTAAGAGATCACCGACGCTGACGTTGTTACACTGTATCAACGTAATTCCAACACAACTTTGAACTTTGAATGAACTGTAAATGCTGCCTTCATTCTAGAAAATACTATCGAAAAACGGTTGGAAATGTAACAGCAGAATACGTCCTAGTAATAAACTACATGTAAGTGACTTCTAAAGACTGATTGGTTTTTGCGAACTTCGTATAGTTAGCTTCACGTTCATGTCCTAACATGGGAACAGCCAAAAACATGTTGCTTGTTTTTTGAGCGGAGCCTCCCGGCTTGTATTGAATATGTCTCGGGCTGTTTACTAGTACTTACTTACTTGTCAGTGTCTGACTGTTATATACAGCCCAGAACACGTCAGCATATTAACAACAAAAGTCAGGAAATGTCAGTTGCCCGTACCTTGAGAGCCGTTGAACCAAAACAATCTGTCACCCTTTGCCGCCCACAGCATCGATATTCAACAACGTGTTGAACAGGAAGTCCATCTTGGGCTAGTGGCATTGTTAAATTTTATAGAGTACAGGAAATGTTTCATTAAGGAATTGTTATGCATATCAAAATCCTTTATTTGAACAGGACATGTTATATATTCACCAAAAACAACGTTGCCATGTTTCTAGGCGTACAAAAAATTGGAAACAAAAGAAATCGTTCGATCCAAACCACAGGCGCTCGACTAACTTGTAGCCATCCCTGTACGAGCTGTAACTTGAACTCTTTTGGTTTCCTAATTAGTTTAATCAGAGTTTTAGTTTTGCCAGTTCTAGCCTGTCCCATTAATAAAAAAACTGTGTCCATGTATGGCTGTTGTAGTTTATCCATTGTTATTTTTGACATTGTGATCGGCACTCAAAGCTCTACTCAACAACACTGATGAAAAGTTATTTTTTAAATTGTTGAATGCTAATAGCAAACCGTTTAGTTCACAAACGGAACAAAATTCTAAATATGAAATTTGGTAAAAAAATAGAATGAATATGTGTTGCAGGTGTCAATCAGGCGTCAAAACACAAAAGCAGCTCAGTCAAAAACGGGTTCCTTTAATAATCCTGAACTTTCCCCAAAAAACGTTACAGTGCTGTTACAGGGTGTTAGTTTACTGGAGTCTGCCTAGCATCT